GAGAGAGAGAGAGAGAGAGAGAGATAGAGAGAGAGAGAGAGAGAGAGAGATCTGGGCCAGTAAAATAAAAAAAAAGATTTAAATAAGTTAATTAAGAAGAATTATCTAGGAATCGAGGAGAGACGGAGAACATGAAAAATATGAAAAGCTGTTTTTACCTTGGTATTATTTAAATTAAACTTCCGCATAGTCTAATATTTTCATCCATTTTCTCCATTCTTTCTCAAACCTATCCTGTGCAGAATCACCTTGACTGTTTACAATATATTTTTGAACAGTATAATGTTCTTTAATCATGTTAACTAAGGCATTTGGGCTCAACGTTTGATGTCGACATCTTGTCTTATAAATATAAAACTTAATAATAATTAAAATTTCATTGTCAATTCTATTATATGTCATACTCTCGTTTGCTACCAATAATCCAAAAAGAAAACTGATTTTATTAAATGAAAATGGGATAAAAAGTGCATCTAACAATATTTCAAAACTTTGTAAAAAATTCTGTACTTCTCTACATTCCCACAAAATATGAATGATTGTTTCTTGTTCTAAATTACAAAGTGTACAGAGTGGACTTGTCACTAATCCTACTTTAAACATGGATGAATTTGTTGTCAAAATATGATGAACAATTCTATACTGAAACCATTGTAGTCTTGAATTTTTTGTTATTCTAAAAGGGGTCTTATATATATCATTCCAATTAAAATTATTCAAATCCAATTTTTCTTCCCATTTTCTCCTCCCAGAAGCAATAGTATCTTTTTTTACCATAAGATTATAAAAATCTTTTATCCCTTTTACTCTTTTTAAGAAAAATTTAATATTACAGGGTATGATAGGGTATACAATAGCATCCTTTTTACAATCAATTTTAACTAAATATTTCCTTATTGTAGTTAATACACCATGATATTGGATAAAATTTGTATTTACCTGATAAATTTGAGCAAATTCTTGAAATGTGTAAAAAGTGCAAGTCTCAATGTCTTTTATTAAGTCATAAATTATAGTCACTCCTTTATTATACCATGTCTTGAAAAATATTGATTTTCCCCCAATAGTAAAATTCCTATTGTACCATAATGGCATTTTCCAGATGCAACTTTCATTAATTTGTTTCACCCGCTCCTTTTCATTAAACCTTCTCCATGCTTTAAAGACATCTTTCCAAAAATAATTTGTGCACTTATTAAGACATATTGGAATGTAATCACTTCCACAATGAGATAGCATATGTAAGTCAAGATGTGTTTCTAAGATAACTTGCCACTTGCCCGACTTCTGATATAATCTCCGTATCCACCCTAATTTTAAGGAATCAATGAATGACCTTATATTAACCATTTTAAGACCTCCTTCAAAATAATTTTGAAATATCACATCTCTCCTTATTTTATCAGTTTTACTGTTCCATAAAAAGTTAAAGAGAACATTATTTAATTGATTCAAAAAAAGATCATCAGGATTTGGCAATGCAATAAATAAATGGTTAAATTGTGATATCATTAAAGATTTTATCAGATGGATTCTACCTATAGGAGTAAGTGATCTTCTGTTCCATGCCATGATAAGTGCTTTAAGTTTAATTAATTTTTTATCAAAATTTAATTTTGGGATTTCATGAAGATTGACACTAAATTCTATTCCCAGAAGCATGAATTTTGTCCTACCCCACTGCAATTTTAGATCAGGTAAAAATGTATCTTCACTATGTATTTTGCTCCCTATCCAAACCACCTGGGTTTTGTCTATATTTATCTTCAAACCAGATATTTTAGCGAAAGTATTCAATTCTGCTATCGACTCTTTTAAAGACCTTTCTGAACCATCTAAAATGAGAGAAGTATCATCAGCATACTGAGAAATAAGGATTGGACTTTTATTGACTTCTATACCCTTAATCTTATTGTTATTTCTAAGTCTTATGCCTAGTATTTCAACACACAAAATAAAAATGTAGGGGGCGATTGGATCACCTTGGCGACAGCCTCTTTTTATGTTTAGAAATGATGAAAGATTACCACCTTGGTTTATAGTTGAACTTACATTGGTGTGCAGTAGTTTTATCCAGCATCTAATATCAGAACCAAAATTAAAATAATTTAAAACTTTATCAACAAATTCCCATGAGACTGAGTCGAATGCTTTCTCAAAATCTACCATTAATAACATACCTGGAATATATCTTTCTTCTGCATATTGCATAATGTCATAAACTAATCTAGTATTTTCCCCTATATAACGGCCTGAAAGAAATCCTGTTTGATCTTCACTAATTAATTTATCTAAAACTGTTCTAATTCTACCTGCTATCGATCCAGACGCTATTTTATAGACTATATTCAATAATGTTATGGGTCGCCAATTTTTTATGAACTGCCTAGGTTTATCTCCCTTGGGAATACATGTTATAATACCTTGCCTTTGTGTTACTGATAGCAAACCTTTCCTATACCCACAATTTATAGATCTAACAATGAACCCACCTAGCTGTTTCCAGAAACACTTAAAAAATTCTACAGTAAACCCATCAGAACCGGGACTTTTGTTATTTTTCATATTTTTCAAAGTTTTTGTTGCTTCATCTAAAGTAATTAACCCTTCTAGACCAAAAGAATCGTTATTTTCTAATTTTGAAACATCACATGTATTCAAAAAATCTGCTAAATCTATATCATCAATATCAGTATTATTATCATATAACTTTTCATAAAATAAACGAACTTCTTCTAAAATTTCATTCTGTTGTGTAATAATAACATTATCATCTTTCTGTATCTTTGGTATAATCTTGGAAGTATAATTCCTATTTTCTAACTTGAAAAAATAATTTGTTGGCTTTTCTCCTTCCTCTTGCCATCTTGCCCTAGATCTAATTATACTACCTCTTACCTTCCTCAACCTAATATTTTCCAATTCCCTTTTCTTAATTTCTAAATCTTCTATGTCTACATGTTCCTGCTCTTCAATAGTTTGTATTTTTCTCTTAAGATCATCTTCCTCCCTACTTTGCTGTTTCTTTCTATAAGATGAATAAGATATACTTTTACCTCTGATTTCCATTAATAATGTTTCAAGAAAAAGCTGGTCATCAATTACAAATTCTATTTCTGTATCTGGTATATTCATTATAGCATTCAGATTATACACTGGCAAAGAGTACTGAGTTTTTGTTTCTAAAATAATATTTTTCACCATTTGATGATATTCTTCCTCATATAAAAGAGATGAATTAAATTTCCACAATCCCTTTCCCCGCTTGAATTCATTCAATTTTAAAACAAAAAAAATATCAAAAATATCAAAACTAATATGATGGGTAGGTATTCAGCCAGATGTTATGTATTAAATATAAGCAATACTATTCAAACATTTTCAACGTATAAACGTTTCAAACTACGATCTAAATTGATAAATGTTAAAATGGGCAGCATTTACTCTTAGCCTTTTCCCAGACAGATAATATCAAATTTCTTAAGGTACTTTTTTGCAGACATTTGTCTTGCACTATTCCAATGTATTTGACTAAATGTTTTTTGTAAACAGTGGTTATAAGCATTAGTACCGTAATGTAGTTAAATAAATTACAAACTCCACGTGTTACGCGCTCTATGCTCATGGAATATGTCATAGAAAAATGAAGGCACGCTGCAAGCTATTTAATTGGTTTTAGGTTGACAATTACCCTGACCAATCGCAAGGCTGATAACTATTATTTGAAGATTACGAAGGAGCGACAACCGACTTTAAAGACAGTCAATGTTTTAGTGATGTACATCAAGTCTTGTCTTATCCACAAGGAGGCACACACTGGCCCTTCGTAATTGCCATGACATATTTCAGGGATTTAGAGAGCGTAAGTAAAACGCCGTTCCCGGATTTTGTGAAAGGGGATGTCTATGGGAAATACAGTTGGGGGAGGGGTCATGATCCCTAGTAGACCTCCTAAATACACCATTTATACGTATTTGATTTTGCAGGTAAAATTAAGAGGGAACTTGGTATATCTTTATTTGATGTCAAAAATACTAGTGTTAGCATAATGTATTTCATATCTTTATGCTGTTCCCATTAAATCAATTATTATATATTAAGATCTAATCATTTTCAGTTTTATAAATAGTCTCGATATCATAATTAAATTATACCTTCTTCGCCGCGAGATGGTTTAGCATATAATGCATTAAGCGGGAAACCAGGTTCTCCTGGAATAGGATACTTCTTCAATCCTAGGGTATGCATCTCTTTATGGCCCTGTTTCTGCGATGTACACTAGGAGTAAAGATGTAAATTATTTGACTCCGTTAATAACTTATTCTGACGTTGTAAGACACAATCAAATACTTAGCATACTGTTAAACATGTCTCAGAACCTCATCATTTTTGATGGTTTAATCAATTGTATATACGCAACGTATTTCACATTAACATTGCCACTCAATCAGGATATCATACACATGACATTCAACATAAAAAAATGCACTTATATATAGGATCATTATATTCTTACATGAGTTTCATATCATATATGAGATTTATGAAACGAGTCTGGCGAGCTTAAATGAAAAATTCGTGACGAGTTTCATGAAAACGAGTGTAAGATCCTTTTGATCATATAATCAAGATTTGGATTAGTGGCCTTGACACCAGACTTAGACATTTTGACAGTATGGTGCCCCCAAACCCGACATCTATCTGTCAAAATGTCTCCCCACAACAAACATCTATCTGTCAAAATATCTCTCCACAACCGACATCTATCTTGGTCAAAATGTCTCTCCACATTAGACATCTATCTCTCAAAATATCATTCCACAACAAACATCTATCTCTGTCAAAATGTCTCCCCACAACAAACATCTATCTGTCAAAATATCTCTCCACAACCGACATCTATCTTGGTCAAAATGTCTCCACATTAGACATCTATCTCTCAAAATATCATTCCACAACAAACATCTATCTCTGTCAAAATGTCTACCCACAACAAACATCTATCTCTGTCAAAATGTCTACCCACAACAAACATCTATCTCTGTCAAAATGTCTACCCACAACAAACATCTATCTCTGTCAAAATGTCTACCCACAACAAACATCTATCTCTGTCAAAATGTCTACCCACAACAAACATCTATCTCTGTCAAAATGTCTACCCACAACAAACATCTATCTCTGTCAAAATGTCTACCCACAACAAACATCTATCTCTGTCAAAATGTCGAAGTCTGATATCAGGGATAAAGGAAACAGAAGATAGCTTATCAAATACCAGCGGATGTCTCGATCTAGCAAACGTTGCTTGTCTGAGTAATATAGTAATTAACAAGCTGAATAATTATCAATTATACATACCTTTTGTAATTTCTTAATACATTCGGATATGAATAATGTTATGTAGATCAGAGTACGATCCGCTTCGCTCTGCAAAACAACAGCAGTATAATGTTGATAAAAACATTTCTAATATTTTCTTTGTGCTTCTTGTCTAATTTTATGTTTAAATAAGGGCAAGCTTAGTATAAATATTTTATGAGACCAACGCCTGATACTTTAACGTCAATATCAAACATTAGCACAACGTAATAGCAGATAAATTAGGATTCAGAAAGATCTCATAATAAAAAAATCGTTGCAGATTTACTGTAATTATAATTAAGGTATATTCTCGGTATTATATGTTTTACAATATTTGAAGACATTTCACATGACATGGACTTTCCTCTTGGTATGAAAAGGAGTTTTGTATACTAACTATTTTAAAGATGAAGTTGATATTTCTCACCTTTATTTCGTAGTTCTTGAAGAAAATATTGGATTTAAAGTAGTATATTCCCTCGTCCACTATATCAAAATCACTAGCTGAAAAAAAGAAGACACGCGAGAAGAGTAAATATCATGCTAGACAAGGACTTTCTGAAATGTTAGAGAATTCACCAAAATGTCACTTGTATAGATATTTAGTAAATACCATATCATTACAACATTATCTATGTAAATATATACCCAAGAAACATAGAATTGCACTTACAAAGATACGTTTGTCTGCACATACATTGCATATTGAAACAGGACGATATAGAAATATTGTAAGGAATGAATGCTATTGTAAAATATGTAAGTCTGTAGATATAGAGGACGAATATCATTTTTTGCTTATTTGTCCTATATACCAAGAGCTCAGATCAAAGTGTGTAAAAATGTATTACTGACCAGGTTTAGCAAATATATATATGATGCCACTTAATTGAGGAAGACTATGATATAATGACATTTAAATGTGTCAAATCTTTTGTCCATTCTCCACTGCGTTTTGCAGTGTCTGCCAATGTATTTATATTGTTACATGTACACTGATGAGCTGGAAAGCTTAAAGTTAATAAAGAATGTAAATATGATATTCAAACATTAATGCAAAATGTTCGTAATTAGCCATAAAGGTTACTCATTTCTTGTGACATGGATACTTCAGTGAATAATCGAGGGCGTAAGGCACACACGACATTTAAATTGATATCAAGTTATATGCGATCAATTCAATACAATGAAATTGGCAGTTATGCGGGGGATGTAGCATTATATTCTTGCTTAAATATAAAAAAAAATGGGTTGAGAATGAAAATCGGAATATTTAGTCGATTGCTTGTCTCTATACTTTAAATCTTGCATGGTAGTCCTCCCTGGAGTGACGTCACAGTCCGGATCTGTTTTACGTCCTTGTTTATATGGAGAGGGATCAATTTTGTTCTGTGCTAATGGATTTATTATTCATAAATATACATATGTGCAAATAATACCGCTTGTACACATTTTTCATTAGATATTACCGTCAGCATATTTCATTGTCTAAGAGATAATCAAAGTGAACATATTTTTAAAAGACTAATATTGCTTTTATATCGCTTAAATATAAGCGTTGTTTGTCCTCTCTGTCACTAATAAAGCTCTTTGGTGAAGAAATAGTTTTGTTTCAGAGAGTAAGGCACATTTGCCCCAACTTAAGGTCATTTTGGCCATACTTCCACTGTTCCAGATAGCCTAGTTTGAAAATTGTCTGGGGCAGTAATTTTTAAAACTATTTTTCTCGCTCATAGGACACTGTTTTAATGATCGAAAGACTAAATATGGATGTTACACACATACATTGAGGAAGAACTATAAAGAGTTTCAGTACTTCTATTGTTCGAGAAAGCTTCAATTTACACAAATTACATTACGATGTTATTTTTTACAAAAAATCTCAATCATAAATCAATTGAATATTTATTATGTACTTACATTGATGAAAAATGTATCATTTTATTTACAGAAATAATATAGGCACTTTTTTCATGGCGGCAGGTCACTTCTTTTAAAATTGTTCAATATGTTGAAGGGTTGAAGGTACCCTGGTTGGAAAAGTTATTGCGGTAATCATTTTTTTTTTTTTTTTTTTTTTTTTTTTTTACTTAAATAATGATTTAAAGAATAAAACATACTTATCTCTGTTTTTACATAAATAATGATTAAACAAATTTTAACATACTGTTTTATGCATAAACCATCCGGGAAAGACCAACTTAAATACAGAAAAATCGAAAAATGCTTAGAATCATTCACTTTGAAAACAAAAGGATGAGGTTTGCAAAATAATAAAAGATAAATTAAACTTTATATAGAAGTACCTTCTTTAACAACATCAAAATAATGCAGACTATATTTAAGAACAAAGTAAATTCACTTACTGTCTTGTGGAGCAGGTCCTTTAAAATTTGTTCTTAGAGGACACAGTGCCATGTTTCCCACCAACTTGGGCGGGTTGAGGAACAGAGAATGATGAGGCTGCACAATCAAATATTTGAATTACATGATTAACAATTCGAAAATTCCCCACTGCTCTAAAATCCCCGTATACTCATATGTATTTTTAATTAGTTTAAACAAATATGATATTGAAAATTGACAATAAAAACGAACAAGCAACACATTACATCAACATGAGATAGACCTTTCGCGAATAAATGAAACAATATATATTACATGATGTGTTCATTCAAAAATTACAAACATTGACAGGAGAGAGTTAACGGGGCTTCAAAGATCGAGAGCAAGGAGGATCAGACCATTACCTGAAGCGTGTCAAATTGTAGGTGGAAATGTCATGTTATATGGGATCAAATTAATTGGACAAAGGACCAATAGAACTTATCAGTGAGTTTACGTTCCATCCAACTCTCCATCTTTACTGTATTAATCAGTTGTATGTTCTTGTTCTGAACATAGCCTCTTTAACTATGTTTATTTAGATAAATCTCAAAGAATATATTATTGGTCATAATGAGGAAACTAGGTAAGTGTCTTCAAGTAATTCGGTAAACATGTCATAATATAGAAAAATAAAAATAAAAAGGCATTTTCCTTATATTGTCTTAAGGTTGTGATGTCTCAAATATCACGACAAACATATGCATCTGCAAAACTTAGAAGAAAATGTTTATAAATCATAATGATGACTTGGTTTGATTTGTTTGTGCGTTACGTCGTGTTAACAGCTGTGGGGAACTATGAGGACGAGCCATGTTTTCGTGATGGATGAAATCGGGATGAATGTCAGCTGGTTTCTGTATATCACAGAATAACCATTTTTTTATAAGTTCTACATTGATTAACTGAGCTTTAAAAAATATGCATTATAATAGATATACTAGTACCACATGTTGTTAAATCAAATCTGATTCTACGACTTCCCCGCCCGCAAGGTTTACCACTATGGTGGGGTGGGTGTGGTAGGGGTTATTCCCGAAGCTCAGAAAGCCCTCTAGATCCACCACTGCGTAATATTATGAAATACAGGATGGGTAACTAAAGTTATAACAATAATTCATAATGCTAACAGTCAATCAAAGTAGTAAATCGGGTAAGCATTCGGAATATAAAATCATAATACATATAGCACTGTATATTTCTTCGAATAGTTTATGATGAGTAAAGGAGAAAGCTCAGTAGAAAGACATGATCGTCTACCGATCCACTGTAACATTCTAAATACGGAATTGAACACGAGATAGTAAATATAGGAAGCTAATAATATTACCGGCATTGTTGAAACGTCCCCTTGTGATCCGCCCCTTAGACTTTTGACATCCAGTCAAGTGTAGTTATAAACATCCGTGTATGAACTGATAAGTGTGGATACGTCACTGGCTAGGCTCTCGTGTTAATACTGACTAGCTATACACCGTTATCATTACTGTTAGTTTGGTATACAGACGCATTGTTAACTTTCACGTAGTTCTGATCGATTAGATAATTCTGAAATGGGAGGATTTTTAAAAGTTTTCAGAAACAGATACAACGATCATTAACTTAGTTAATTAGGATATAACAAATTGCTATTTTGATTTATCAACCAAAACATCCCTTGCGTTTTCTTTACATATGTCATCAAAGTGTATGTAAATCCGTTAATCAAATGCAAATTTGGTGAAACTGGGGCAAAATATGAACTTACGAGGTATTTATAGGCAACCTGTGATAGGCAAAATGTGGTATACGTGTATTTATTTGCCTTTACCAGAATAAATATGATTAACCCTTGGACATTTGAGAATAAACTTTTTCTGCTTTATCGACAACACCGGTCATTTAAGTACAGGTCAAATTCTAGTTATATTGTCACGCTATCAAAGTAAGATCGGGGAAGAGGCGACACCAAATGGCATAGCGACCACTTTGCCCGTCTCTGGAAAAAAATGTGAAGTAATTAAGCTTGTCTGTCAACTATTGGCATCAATATCGGAAATCGTGATATTCGGAGCAAGCCCATGACATGGAAAAGGAAGCATTTCATATATTTTTGGTAGACGCTGAATCTGTTGTCCAATCAGTTACATATCAAGGGGCCAGCTGTACAACGAACATTAATAAGCTTAATCACTGTTTAATTAACAACCTATAATAATTTGGTCTATATACAAGGTAAAAACTCGTAATTTTGCATGTTATTTTACTGTGCTACACTATTGCTATCTAGCAAATTTTTTACTTAGTTTGTGGTTGTGTTTTATAGAAAAATAAAAAATGAACTTGCGCTAACCACCGATTGAGTTGATTGATCACGTTTGAACAACCGGGCCCAGGTTTCACCTATTCTGCAAGTAAGGTTATATTTTACGTTAACTTTGCCCTTAGACACCTCATCGTCGATATCCAGGGGTTACGTTCACGTTCGCTCTCTACACCCCTAGACTATGTCAAAGCAATGTTGAAGGCACGAAGATAGCTGTTTGATTGGTCTCAGGTAAAAACAACTGACCAATCGCTAGGCTGATACGTATACATGTCCTTTGAAGATTACAAAGAAGAGGCGTCCGACTTCAAAGCCTGTCAATTTTTACCGTTACGTGACCGCGAGATTATTTTGATGTATATCAAAGGATCGAACTAGTCTTTTGGTCTCATTATCAAGGGAGCAACATGGCGGCGTTGGGTTAGAAGCGTATGAAGGAGCTCCGGTAATTTATCCTGAGAATGCCTCTCTAGTAACCCCGGAAAGTCCCCAATATTGGACTGTGTGACGGTGAGATCATTTCTAACATAATGATAACATTATTTTGAAAAAATATTTTGAAATATCCCCTTTGCGGACCATAATAGCATTCATTACCTGTATACCTGAGGTACACACATGTACCTGAACGATACCTGTGTTGCACGTGCAGACTACTATACTCACCTATGTGACATGTATGTTAGTACTGGAGTTACACCCTGGAAAGCTGTGGTTTATTTATGAACGTTTATTCGTACATGTACATATACATGTTCATCTTTTTGTATAATACGGATTTTAATGTGCGTTTACTGTGTAAGAACGGTAAACTAACCAGTATGACCTTGAACTGTGTGCACGTGTAGCCCATGGGTAAGAAACGTAATAGATCTCATACGGACACGAGTACTGTAATGGCTATGGCACATAGAGATCTCTATGGTACCCCACATGGTAATGTGGCCGCCACGCAACCATGTTTCCAACCTGCCCCGCAGTACCCGCAGTACCCTATGCAAAGCTCGTGTATACCCCCCAGTTCTCCTGCGAATCCTCAGTTGATGTTCCCTCAGGCAACCTCGCCTACTCCTGACACCATTTCCCCACACTTCAGTGATCAAATTCTTCGAGACATATTTCAACGGTTAACTAAGCTGGATACACTGGATCAAATCATGTCTAGACTCAGTGTCATCGAGGGCAAGTTTAGCAGTATGGAGAGTTCGTTATCAGGCGTTAAACGTGAACTTAAAACACACAGTGAACAGCTCGAGGGTGCGGATTTCGACCATTCCATTCTTGAAGAGAGAGTCAGCAAAGTGGAACTTGAACGGGAGGAGGTACGGGAAGAAAATCGCCTACTGAAAGATCAAATACTCGAGATCCAAACACGATCGATGAAGGACAACCTGTTATTTGGAGGAATCCCAGATGTTGACCGTGATGAAGACACCGAGGCTGTTGTGAAGGAATTCATCAAGACGGAACTCGGTATTGAAGAGGAAATGCAGCTTCATGTTGCCCATAGGCTGAGGAAAAGATCCGATAATAAACCTAGGTCCATAGTAGCTAAATTCTCTAGCAGAAAAGATAGAGACAAAGTGTTGAAGGCTGCCCCAAAACTAGCGGGGAAAAGAGAATTCTCTGTATTTGAGCAATTCCCGCCGGAAATAAATGACAGGCGACGTTTACTCTATCCGGTGTTTAAGGAAGCCAAGAGGCATGGAAGGCACGCTCGCCTGCTAGGTGATAAACTCTACATTGACGGTAACCTTTACATCCCACCTCAGCATCATCATCCTAGTCATCCTCCCATAGGCCGAGATCATCCTCCTGATTCTCGCAGAGGACCTGGATGGCACTCATCGGCCCAAGGACGGCAGACAGCCACGCCCCCTAGTGGTCAGCATCAGTTCCGTAATGCTCGTCACGTGCCAAACCCCCGCAATGACAGTCGCCCCATGTAGGGAGACGCGACAAGAGGTCAACCCCGTGACATTGATAAAGACACTATCAAGTTTACTTTCCTTAATGTTTGCGGTATTAAGTCTAAGATACTTTTGCCTGAGTTTGAAGACTTAATCCTAGCACATGACATACTTATTTTTGCAGAGAGCAAGATTGATAATCTGGATCATTTACAACTACCGCCTGACTATGAATATTTTGCTAAATGTAGAACTAATGCATATAAAAAATCTGGTGGTATAGTAATTATTTTTAAGAAAACTCTCAAGTCGATGTTGACTTTTCCTAAAACTTTATCAGAATATGTATTGTGGGTAAATTTTTCAAAACACGTTGTGAACTCTGATCTAGATTTTCTACTGGGATGTGTTTATATACCTCCCGAAAATACTAAGTATGCATCCCCGGAAGCGTTCAATGAAATTGAAAGGGAGATGATAGAATTATCCCATCATGGTAACAAAGTCGCCATAGTCGGAGATTTTAATGCTAAAACCCAAGTTAGAGATGATTTTGTAGAACCAGATGATAACTTCATTCGTTCATTAAACTTAGATGAAAATGATGAGCTATACTCATATCTCTATGATATTGAAAAGTTGAAATTATATAATGTTCCTCTGCGAAGGGCTAGTCAATGTAAAGCTAAAGTTAATAATTATGGCAATAAATTGCTTGACTTCTGCAAGCAAAATAATATGTATATTGCCAATGGTCGGATTGGAAATGATGCACAAATAGGTAAAACTACATGTAGTGATGTCAGCGTTATAGATTATCTATTGCTGTCGTCAGATATGTTTCGGTATACAACAGATTTTGAAATCAAAGTTTTTGACCCACTCATATCAGATGTCCACTGTAGACTTGTATTTAGCCTTTGTAAATTAACTGATGAATGTATATATAATACCGAATGTCATGAAAATCGATATACAAAGTGGAAATCCTGTAAAGAACAAGATTTTGTAAAACATATACTAGATGATGAAAGAGGTAATCTCCATAGAATTAATGATAAATTAAATGAATTATTAAATAAACAACACGACAATGTAACCAATAACGAAATTAATGACATTGTAAACTCAATTAGTGAATTGTTCAAAGGCTCTGCTAAGCAGGTTTTTGGTAGTAACAATGCTTACAGGAAACGGAGGTTGAGATGTGATAATAAACCTTGGTTTAATAGGGAATGCCACTTAAACAGAGTTGAATTTAATAAAGCCAAGGCCTTATTTCACAAAGTAAATAATCCTATAAATAAAACTAATCTCAATAGAGCTAGTAAAGTTTATAGAAAAACATTGAATAAAAATTACAGAAATTATCAGGAGAAATTGTCAAGCGAGTTAAGAAATACTGCTAGAATGGATTCAAAAAAATTCTGGAATATTTTGAATAAATGTGACGGATCTGTAAAGAAAGGTAATGCTGATATATGTATTACTGAATTATATGAATACTTTAAGGATCTGAACAAGTCTGTTTATGATGATGACGATTTTGAGCTGGAAAATCCTGATAATAGTATTTTTGATGATTATCTGAATGGTGAAATTACCACTGATGAAATTAAATTTTCTTTAATCAATTTGAAGAATAGTAAAGCCTCTGGTATAGATCAAATCCTAAATGAATATCTAAAAAGTACAATGGATGTATTTTTACCAATTTATCAAAAAATATTTAACCTTATTCTGAATACTGCGTCTATACCAGATGTGTGGAAGATCGGTATTATAAAACCAGTATATAAAAACAAAGGCGATCCAAAAGATCCGGATAATTATAGAGCGATCACTTTAGTCTCGTGCCTTGGCAAAGTTTTCACTTCGGTTATTAATAATCGTTTAAATAAAATTTCTGACGAATTTGACCTGATAAGCAGTGCACAAGCTGGGTTTAGAAAGGGTCATTCTACAACCGATAACATGTTTGTATTGTATTCTTTAATCTCAATATATTTTTCATTAGGAAAAAAACTTTATTGTACGTTCATCGATTTTAGTAAGGCGTTCGATTCTGTATGGAGAGTTGGTCTGTGGAAAAAGCTCCAAAAAAGCAACATTACTGGAAAAATTTTCAATATTATTTATAAGCTATATGATAAAACCAAATCATGTGTTAAAAATGGATGTGAACAGTCGGATTTGTTCAATTGTGAGATCGGTTTAAAACAGGGCGAAAATTTATCGCCATTTTTGTTTGCAATTTATTTAAATGATTTAGAAACTTATCTTGTTGAAAAAAATGTAAATTGTCTTCAAACAATAGACAAATTATGTATTGATAACATTGGAGTGTATCTCAAACTATTCATTATCTTATATGCCGATGATACTGTCCTGTTTTCAGAAACACCAGATGGTTTACAGTTAGCTTTAAATGAATTTGAACAATACTGTAATACTTGGAAGTTAACTATCAATTCAGGAAAAACTAAAATTGTCATCTTTTCAAAAAGAAAATGTGCAAGAACTCCCCATTTTACATTATGTAACGTAGAATTAGAAATACTGGAAGGGTATACCTATCTAGGATTATTCTTTAATTTTAGTTGTAGCTTCTTTAAAGCAAGGAAAAAAATTGTTGAACAAGCACAGAAATCAGTGTTTGCTGTCTATAAGAAATTGAGAAACATATCTTTACCAGTTGATCTACAATTGAAGATATTTGATTCATTAATTATGCCAGTTCTTCTCTATTCATCAGAAATATGGGGTTTTGAAAACACAAATATTATAGAAAAAATCCATCTTCAATTTTGTAAATATATACTAAATGTAAGAAAAAGTACACCAAATTTCATTGTTTATGGTGAGCTTGGAAGATACCCACTAGACATCGAAATTAAATGTAGAATAATAGTATTCTGGCATAAGTTGATTACCTCTAGTAAGTTATCAAGTACTATTTATAAGCTTATGTATACATTACATGAAAATGGAACTATGTTATTTAAATGGCTCGCATATGTTAAAGATATTTTTTCTCAAACTGGCCTGAACTATGTGTGGTACTATCAATCTACATGTTCTTTTTCAAAAGACGAAATTAAGAGGCTTGTGAAAAGTAGACTGAAGGATCAATTTATACAGAAATGGTTTGATAATATTCTTAACTCCTCTAGAGGACAAACATATTCAATATTAAAGACAAAGTTTGAACAAGAAAAATATTTAATTAAACTTAATACAAATGATAGGAAAATAATGTGTAAATTCCGTTCTTGCAATATGCATTTACCCATAGAAAAAGGAAGATGGTTAGGTATTCCTCGTCAAGAAAGAACCTGTACATTATGTAATTTGTACATTGGAGATGAATTTCATTACTTATTTATATGTGAAAGTGTTTTAGTTAAATGTCTAAGAGAGAAATATATACCAAAATATTATTTCACTTATCCAAGTCAATTAAAAATGCAAGGATTGTTTAATATATTTAATGTAAAAATTCACACAAAACTTTGTAAATTCATAGAAAAGCTTGAAAAAATATTAACTTAATTTCTGTACTATTTGTGTACTTCTATATGTATCTATGCTATGTACAATGTTGTAATTGTGTACATCACACGCCATGTATCATACTTACTATATGTATGTGACCTCTTGTTACACACGTAAGTGTGTCGGAGTGAATAAATAAAAACTTAGCAATGTTGAAGGCACGAAGATAGCTGTTTGATTGGTCTCAGGTAAAAACAACTGACCAATCGCTAGGCTGATACGTATACATGTCCTTTGAAGATTACAAAGAAGAGGCGTCCGACTTCAAAGCCTGTCAATTTTTACCGTTACGTGACCGCGAGATTATTTTGATGTATATCAAAGGATCGAACTAGTCTTTTGGTCTCATTATCAAGGTGGCGCACACTGAGCCAACAATTTTGCTATGACATATTCTAGGGGTGCAGAGAGCGAAAGTGAGCGTAACCCCTGGATATCGAGGATGCCGTAAGTTACATCCTTGACAATGAAGCGTCTGTCATGATTTATTCACTACTTTTTAGGTTGTTGGTGTTCAAATACTTTATTATTCCTCAATATGACGTTGGTACAGAATCTGCATAGTTGTAATGAATTCATAAGTTCGCCCTCATTAAAAGGCGTGAAATCTCTTTGCGGCGAATATTTTCCAGTATACAGCATTTAGCATGGTATTGTTAATAAAAAAACAAGAACAATATCAAAAATAGTTATATCATATTTAATAATACTCCTTTTTAACTTATAAAAGCATTAATACATAGTATATCTTAATAGATGGAAGAATGTAACCTTACATATTTAAATGGTTCATAACTCATTCTCTCAATATGGATACATACATGTTTTTATCTCATTCCGAGACAATTAAGTACTGATAATTTTAAAAGATTTGTTTTAACATGTTTCCTGTAAAGAATATTATTAAGAAAGTGTACAAAATTTCAGATCAAAATCAAACGACATCTGGTCTAGAGATTCTCTTTCTTCTCATGAATAAGAAACTGATCACTAAAATACAAAAACATTTAGTCATGTTTTTACAAATAATTTTCAAAATTTGAATTTGACAACTGAGTTTCACATATAATTAAAAATGTAATGAAATACAATACAATTAGTTGGACTCTAAACATAAACCTTGTGATAGCTTACAGCCACTGGATTACATTGGAGAGACATTTTCTTTATTAATGGTACAGATTCCAGGTAGTTTCCCGTGGCTGGTTTCTCTTCTATGTAACATACTGCTATAATAGAATTTGTACAAACAGGTGTGTATAGCACATATACCGGTATATGTTATAAATAAATATTGAAAACAAATCAGACCTACGATGTCAAAATGCACCCATTTCAATTAAAAAAAAAAGAAATTCTACCATAATTTAGCTGTAAAAAATATCAGATCAAATTTATGATTGCACATGTGTCAATTTTAAAATGACATTATACCATTATTTCTAAGTGAAAAAAAATATCAGATCAAATTTGGAAATAAAGTAAGCTTAATTAATATTCTTCAAAGGAGATTTTGAAAACATGAAAATGTGTTTTTTGGTACATTGAAATTCCTACATTGCAGATACCTTGGATAAATAGTTACATATACAGACAATTTCAAAGAAAATATAGACTTTGTTCATTCTCCTTGAATATATTGAATGATATAAATAAGCTTGAATTATATTTGTCAGATAAAATGGAAAGAAAAAATACATCAAACATGTATATCATATGACATCATACATACATGTTCTAGTATGTCACATGCATTTAAACAATTGATGATTTACTTCAGAAATCTCCCAAAATCCTTAACAGCGAATACATCATTGATAGAATTTCAGTGTATTCTCTGTATGGTTTCTGAAATGTGTATCCTTCTTGTTATGATAATATTTAATAAATCTAAGTAAATGTCTATCACTGTCCGGGTGCTGACAAACTCTTGTCCAAAAACTTCCTCTTTGAAAAGCACATCCACCACTGAAAAATTGAAGGTTAACAAATATCAATACACGATATCAATTGTTACTTATCATTTACTTAATATATGTGTCAATTAAAATCAAAGTTATTACCAACTCATTCTTATTTTAACCCTTTCATCCCTATGTAATTTTAGTAAGCTCTACCATGTAATAATTTGGAGCAGTCCATTATGTTCTATAGTGGTGAAAGTGTTGAAATAAAGGGTAAAGGATCATAAAACTCTCAAATATTGTACTGGAAATACTCTTAAAGAAATGGGCTACTTTACTTTGACGGACAAAAATACTTTCCTAAATATTATCACTCTTTATCAACTTTAAGAAGTGATTTATAGTTTTAGTGATTGATTAGATGAAACATCTGTAATGGCATCAGGAATAAATGCATGGAATACACTCGGAAAAATTGGATTTCATATTAACTAAAAAATAACTGTAGAACGTACATATCAACCTGTTTATGCTTCCATGAAAATGTAACCAACGCAAAATCAGTAAAGTGGAAAAATAGGTCACAGTAACCTACATGTCATAACATGTCACCTAAAGGTGAAATACCCTTGAAGATGAATCTTTATATACCGTTTGATGACTGATTGGAGTGGGTTGTGGGGGTATGACTTAAGCAAAAGAGATAATTCTTGCACAAACGCACAAACTGAATATAAGAAACATTTTTATACATTTAAACATGCATATAAAGCAAACTTTTATTTGTTGGGACCTCTGTGACAATATTCATGCATAAATGTCCCCTGAGTATACATATATATCTGTTTCACATGGAATATTTTTACGAGTTTTTATGAGTGTAAGCAATTTGGTCTCTCGCCATCATGACTGTTCCGAGGCCATATTTATGTTCAGAACAACAAAGGAATTGATATCTTTCTGCATTGTTTCCTTTCGCTCCAATTGCATTTTACCCAATTGTAGAAGTATTTTTTGACAGACAATGTCATGTGAACATCATCTTTCAGTACATAAACTTCAATAAAAATCCACTTTTGACATTCTGTCAAAGATTTCTGTGAAATCACAACTTGATTTGGCCCTAATTAATCTGACAGTAGCGCAGAAACACAGAAACACTTTCTGATCAGAAAACATTGCTTATAAAGCAGGTGTTATGTGAAGTTTAGTTTGGGGTTTTAAGCAACATATATCACCAATTTAAGTATATTAACTTAGAGCTTAAGGTGTAGACAAAAATGCATTTTTTTTTTAAATGTACTGCATACAGCTTTTATTACATACAGCCTCACTTTCATCTTTATTAGAATAATGCAATATTGAAGATTTTAAGGAAAGGAATGCTGGATGGTTTGTGCAGTAACATGTTGGCAAAAATAACCCTGTTCTACAGAATTACAAAAATAATCGTTCAGCATGTGGAAGTAAAATAAACAGTGACAATTTTAGCTATGTACCTTGCTGGGTTTGTCTGAGGCTTGCTCAAACACCTTCTCACACATGCGAAGTCCTGTCTCCTGTCGGATCTGCTGGAGGTAGGCCCTCATGTTATCTGTGGAACAAAAAAAGTTGATTGTACTTTTTTACAACTTTTCAAAGGTGTACTGTAAGGAATCAGACATTTTGGGTTGTTAGTATTTTACATGATCCTGATAAGAGACGTATATAGTCATTTAAGGAAGTGCCAGATATCAGAAGTGGAGCAAAACCAGAGTGCCCGGAGACCCCCCCCCCCCCACCAACTGGCAGTCGGTACCTGGCGACTGCCCCATGTGATTCTCAAACCCCCGACCCACTGGTGGAAGGCTAGTGATTGTCAGACGCCTTAACCACTCGGCCACTGCGAACCCAGAATCGGACAGGAATTCAGGTACCAATCCAGACAAAAGCATTCAAACATTTATGTACATGTATTTATTTGGTTCATCCTCATATCCCATATTTTGAAACACTCTCTTTACAAAAAAAGTTATTACTTAACGAATCAATGACTAAGGAATAATTCACTGTCTGACAATTTCTTTGACAATATTTTTGTATTCTTTTTCTATTTCTGTAGACTCGGTCTCAAATGTTTTACTGTTTGAAAACAAAGCATTACTGTGATGAAAGTGGCAACTTAAAAGGAGGTCATTTTGAATTTGAAATAGTGATCTATGCCTCTAACAAGCTCCCTCCTCGAAACAGGACCACATGTGATGCATTCCAATACATTTGTATGTACTCTACATTTGGGATCCATGTATGTACTGTTTAATGACAAGACTATAAATAGGGGCAAGTACACGGTCACCATACAATTGTCATTGCATTTTGATAAACTAATCAGAATGCAGTACAGTATGAAATTAATTATGCCAAGATTTTGTTCAGTCTAGTTGTGTTGTAGATGCTGTGCAGGTCTCAGCAACCTAGCTTGTCCTACCTTCTTCACTGCGACCGGATGGTTTGGCAAACATTGCATTGAGTGGGAAACCTTTCTCTCCAGGAATAGGGTAGTTGTATATACCAATCGTGTACATTTCCTTCTGTCCCTGGTTTTTAGACTGACACTGAAATTAAGACATAAATATACCATAAATTTTTATGGGCTTGTTGACTCCAAATCGTTATAAACACCAATCTACCTTTGATGCTACTTTTCCTGTTTGATACCGTTTATTTTTATGGTTTTTCCAAAAAAAAAATCATAAAACCGGAACTGCGCACTATACCAGAGTGTGCACTATACCCGCATATTTCTGGTATCTCTTTATTATATTTACCTTGACATTTGATTTGGAAGTTTAGCACAATAAAACTAAATTTGTCTCTCAAAATAAGGGAGAGTAAAGTACAATAAACTAAAATATTTTTAAAATTTTGATTTGCATATAATTATGAAAATATTAAAACATTAAATTATTAGTTCTATAAAGCTAACAGTGCTTTAAACGAGGTACAGGTATGCAGTCAGAATTTTTAGGCAACTTGTATCTGTCCAGAAAGCATGGTACCCACCTTCTGGAATTTCTTAAGGCACTCCGATATGAACAATGTAATGTAAATTAAGGTACGGTCTGCTTCACTCTGTTTGGAAAAGAAATAGATTATTAACTTGTGGTAAAATGTTCAATCAAAATAACATGGCATTGGATTATTTGGAATGTGTAACTTGTTGTGTCAAGACATTCAACAAAATCTATTAAATCTTCTATTCATTGTGTAAATTATTTGCAAAATATTTGTATATGTTGACAGAAATATTAATACTGAAAATTGATGTTGAATTTTAACTGCAGCTATTTAATATCGAATTTGTATTTTGAAGTGATAGATAATTTATGAACTTACCTTTATTTCATAATTTCTGAAGAAGATATTGGCTTTGAAATAGTAAATTGCTTCATCAATGATATCAAAGTCACTCGCTGCAATAGAATTAAATGGTCTGTTAATACCACATGAACATTTTTTTTTGTGTAGTATCTCTACGTAACACGATGCCTCACATCCAGTATATATATACACAGTATAGTCGGTACAATCACTGGGTACCTGCAGTTCTGGTAATGTTTTCCAATAAATATGTGACAATATACCAGACAGTCGACAACAATAACGAGTAAGCAAACCTAAACAATGCTATAAGATATGTTTGAATTGTGTTGTATATACTAGATTACTAAGTCACCACTGTAGACCATAATGGACTCATCCAGATCAAAGCATGGTAGACTTTACTCAAGTTAAATAGGGGTCAAAGGGCTAATAAGAGAATACAATTTTTTGGTGGGAAAGTGTCTCTGCAAACTCATTTGTTTTTGTACATTAGTATTTATCCAAATACAATAGTTATTCTAAACAAATGGCAAGCTTTATTCCTATACTTTAGATTTTAAATGGCTATTTATATGGTCATGATTTTCAGATATAGCACATTGCAATTTTAATTTTCTCACTAGTACATTTGAAAGAAGTGATATATACCAGATTAAATACTAACACAGTATAGACCGTTATGGAGCTGATATATATATACAGATTACCAGAGAACCTGATAATTAGCTCCATGCATGGATTCCTTGCCTTCATATATACAAGTTAACAGATATAACTGGATAATTGCAAAATCCAACTGATTTTAATAACTTATTATTCTTTCCAATGTTCTTTCATCAGTTACTGGTACACCATTGTGAAAGAGTTCAGACTATTGCAGTTGAAAAAAGGTACTTTTGAGATAAATATTGCTATAGGTTTTTATTGATTTTGTTTCATTAATTGGTTTTAAAAGTGATTCATGATGTTGTTTGTCATTCCAGGTTTTGTCTTGACATCTTCAATGTCGTGTATTCTTGGAATACAACTTAAATTCATTAATAAAAGAAAGTATATATTGGAATGTTTTGCTGTCATGCCTCTTGTTACATGAAAATTGGCTAGTCACAATGTGTTCCAATAGATCTTCCAGGAAACACATTTCAGGTTTTTTTCATAAGAAAACTATCATCACTACTGCAATATTTATCGACTTTGAAATCCATATTAATGTATTGCTTTTATGTTGATAACTATTGCATTACATTACAATAGTACAATGAATGTATTACTGTACTCCTAGCTTATTTTCGAAGTCTTTCTACAGAGGCACTAACATGCATTTTGGAAATTGATCTGCCTATATATCATATACAGTAATATATGTAGCCTGTTTTGCTGTTGCTCAAGGACAGGTCTGCCTATACATTTATATAGGTTATAGAATCAACCAAAACAAATCGCTTCCGTGTACAAGGAAGTTTCTGAAGATAAAAACTAAGGCAGCTATTTAACTTACTATCCCTGGGAGCTGGTCCCTTGTAAGATGTCCTCAGTGGTAACAGCGCCATGTTCCCCAACACCTGGGGTGGGTTCTGGAACTGAGAGTGGTACGCCTAAAATTGGAAACACTTAATCTTTAAAATCTAACAAAACGTATTGTTGAAAAAATAAAAAGATGAAATATTTAAAAATCAAAGAATATCCATTTCTAACCCAGAGAAATGTGAAATCACCGGGGTTCGTTAAAAATATCTAACGCCAAAATCACTCTGCGATTACTTGTTTTATAAAAATCTTCTGTTTGGTTGGCTATTAGCCATATCAGTATAGCATATATTATATGTATTAGACATTTTTAACGCTTGTTGTTATGACTCACAGCAAATTTCCGTGATACATTACATATAGGCCTATATCTTCTCGAGATCAAGACCATATAACGTTATAAATTTGTTTTTTTGGAGACACTGAATTATATTTTGTATTATGTTCCCAATGCCTCATGTACAAGTTCCGTACATGCAAATTAAATTGATCAAAGAAGAAGCTTTCTTACCGGCATGATGTTTCCTTTCTGGTCAATTCACCTTTTCGACTTCCTCGTTGGATCGCTTACATCAATACCAAAAAATAAAATTGTATATCTTAATTTTTATGAAATTCATTAATATTCACACAACAAATGATAAAAAATAAGTTCAAAGTGATGAAATAAACATATAACATCAGAAAAAATACATATTGAATATAATTCTATGGTTATTTTTAATGATATAAAATATATTTTTTCTTTCTAAAAATAGCCGCAGATCGACAATGCGCTTTACAGGAACGAAATTTGACATTGTAAGTTAAAGGTTCAAGTTGACAATGACCCAGTCCATGTGTTGTGGTGAAACAGGAACAGCGACATGAAATTTGTGTGAAGTGACTAGTTACTCGCTATCACGATGCCTCGTTACGGACAGCTTGTGATGGGTCCGGCGGGAAGCGGAAAGGTGAATCGATATTTTAAGATTACTTTCGAGTCCGACTAAAATCTAAATAAAATTTAAGTGATATCACAAGCAGAGATTTTATGATGTTAATTTGGAGCCTGATAAAATCATTTCTGCTGTATTTTCCGAAATTAATGCAAAAATTGCTCTAATTTCTCAAAATTATACTTTCTGTGTGCGATATTTCCCCAAAGTCACAAATCACAGGCTCTGTCAGAAGAGGTAGAAAAATCACCGACAAGTGACTGCTGGCCGTGGCATGGAAATTTAATGTTTGAATCAAAGCTAAATACATATAGCTAGTGAACGTTGGTAAAACTACATCAACTACAGTTGGTGAAATATTTTTACATTAAACATGTCAATTTCACACATACATTTTACGATATTACATATAGCGAAATTCATGATTTAATAATTAGCCTTGTTGATACTAATGTAAACATGTTTGTGTGTTACTTACTAATAACATGTTGTTTACAGTCAACCTATTGCAGTAACCTGGTTAGACATGGTGAGGCTATACGTCGCAATATACAGGTGGTAAACCTTGATCCAGCGGCAGAACATTTTGATTATCCTGTGTTAGCTGGTAAGTTTTTCTGCTCATGTTGGTTTCATAATTATGATGTCATTATCATATCATCAGATATATACACTGGTGTCTACAAAATGCTGATTTTCCTAATATCATGGTAAAATTACCCAACCATGCATGCTAACTATAATCCAACAATGCTGAATATAACCCAACCATGCTGACTTTTTACTGAAATTCACTTTAAATTACCATGGTTAGGTTATACTCGGCATTGTCGTTTTAAAGTCAGCACAGTCATTTAAAGGTCAGCACAGTTGGTTAAAAGTCAGCATGGTTGGTTTATATTCAGAGTACTGGTCCCTGAAGATTTTACCTGTGTTCCTCCAGCACTAGCCATGGCCAGCAGCAGGGGGTTTCACACCTCCTGAGCGTTATCTCTGATCACATAGAGGCAGTACTCATAGGTAAGACATCAATGGAAAGCCTGTGGCTTGTAGTGATGTTATTAATCTGCATTTCGTTAATTCATTGGATGATGATGGAGTGTACGAAGAATGGCATACATTGTATGAAATTAAATATATCTAGACAACTAGTGAAGTCTAATTGTCGCAATAGTATTAATTAATATTTACACATCGTAGATTTAAAGGACAGATAAAATTTGTGTGCATGATCTTTCCAGTGCAACTTTAACCTATTTTTAAAAATATTCAAACTTTTGGCATTAACCACTTCAGCTGATAAACTGTTCCAATTTGTGACAACACGGTTGCTGAAAATGTTCTTGGTGGTGTTTAAGCGGCATTGTTTCTTAAAGAGCTTTAGCACTATATAATGTTAAATATTACCAGGTACATAAAGTATACTTTAAAACAATTGTCAATCTCAGTCCCAATATTTCGACCTCCCAGTCTTCTTCAAGGGCGAAAGATAACAATGAATTTAAGTTACATCCGTCTTGCTTCTTCAGAAGAGGAGGAAATGATGTGTAGAAATGAGGTATAGAAATCATGATGTCACAATGACTCATTGAATCTATGACTTCGTAATAACATGACGTGACGTCAGAATCACTAGACATCTAAACAATGTCCAGAGTCAAGTTGCACCCATCAGCAGTTCTTCTAGATGTTGCAATGATGTGGAAATTTAGTGGAAACTTTCGTAATCCATATGTCCTCAACTTAAAGCCTATTGACTTGCCTTCCTTGTATACACACTGCAACTTTGCCATTCCCACATCATCATCTGAATGGTCAAAGAAATGCCTATTGATAGGATTTTATGTCTTCAGCCAAATGTCTCTCACATGTTCCTTGAATCGTTCCTTCAACAAGCATTCTGTTTCACAATCACATCACATTTTCTACATACCTGACCATAAAAAAATGTTCATATCAGTACACGACCAATCTGTTGGGCTGTAACGGTGCTGACTGGGACATGAATGATCTTTTGACACATGTACACAAAGCAACAACAATCCCTTCCAATGCCTTCATTGACAATTTTTTTGGTCTTGCTTTGTACTTGCACATCACTCAAACTACTTCTTTTTCTTTGTCATGAGTTTTGCTACAAGGAATTTACTTGAATATGGTTATGATTGATGTATATATTGTAATTAGACATTGCGAAGCTTCAAAATCAGAATCATGATTAATTATTTTTTTCAGGAGATGCCTGTATTCCTTTTACAAAAAAGTTTTAAAGTTCTTGTTTGGTGTCGTAATAATTTCTTGTATACTGGCTTTTATGCAGATATAAGAGAACTGATTCACCTAGATGATGCTATGGAGGATGAGGCTCTGAGATTTGGACCTAATGGTGGACTTATTTATTGTATGGAGTAAGTATGTTAAAACAGTATATTGTGGACTTTTTCATAGAAAAAACCCAGAATTAAAATTGAAACTGATTTATTAATTTTGGGAAAGATTGAAATAGTGCAACATGTTCATTACTTAGTAACTCTGTATGGAGTAAGTACCGTATGTATATGTTAAAACACTATATTTTAGACTTTTTCTTTCTAAACAAAAAAAAGGGGGAAAAAATGAAACTTAATTGATTAATTTCCAAAAAGATTGAAATACTGCAACATATTCATCACTAAGTAACAATACAAGTTTTCTTTCCTGATGTAGACTTCATAATGTCTCAAATTTTAAACAGGAATCATATGTCATATTTAGCATTACATGTAATATAATTGCTGACTGACTTGCACTTGAAAAGGAAGTTAATCTCATCATCTGTATCAGGTAAATCACTACATCTCGGTGTCTGCTATCATGGGCAATGTTCTGGTACCTATTTACAAGCTAGCAGAAGCAACATGCAGTAATTTTGCATGAGAATATTTGCTTTCTCTGATTTTGATTTTGAACAAGTCTCAGATAGTTTACAAACTGGAAATTAGATTTAAATTAAATTAAATTGAATTGATACTTACCATTTATCAAAGATAAGCATTTCATGATCCAATTTTCAAGTTGTAATGTTTTCTTCTCATCATTGATTTGCATTTTAAAAAAATCTTTAAAAAACCCATAACATTTTACTTCCAGGACAGGTTAGTTGGTCTAACAGAGTCTTGAATGGTCCAAATGGAGAAGGGTTCATTCTCCTTGTAAACAGAGAAATGCACCGTGTTACAGAAATTAACAATTTAAGAGTCAGGTGGTTCTTTTAGACAGGTCATTATAGAAAAAAATATTTGTGGTATTTTTTAGGCAGGTAGTCTTTATAGACAGTTGGTCTTAAAGGCAGGTTTCCTTGTACTGTGAAGTAATATTATGGAATCAACATGAACGAGAGAAATGAATATGCTGTGTTTGTGTTTGTGTACAGGTACCTGGCACAGAACTTTGACTGGCTGCAGGAACAGCTAGATGAGGTTGAGGATGATTATATATTGTTCGATTGCCCTGGTGAGTTAGCAAACTGGTATAGCATACTTTTTTTTCCTTTTAAACAAAAATCAGTTATAATTATTTATGCAAAAATTGTTTGGAGCAAAAAAAAACTGTAGTATTTGTATTTGTCCCAGTTTGTGTAGTACTCACTGACACATTTGCATTATTTGAGAGTGGGAGCATATTGTATATTGTGTATGAGAGTGGAAGATTGCTGACAATGAACATCATGCATGTTGGCTTTATTTTATTGAACTACACACAAAGTGGTGACTTCACACCCAAGTACACACAAAGTGGTGACTTCACACACAAGTACACATAAAGTGGTGACTTCACACCCAAGTACACACAATGTGTACCTCATGGTGAAAGGCGAGTTCACTATACACCGCCACACGACCACCTTAAATAAGGGTCAGCAAAAAAACAATGCAGAAGATAGGATATTTAAAATTGAGACATATTTTTGTGTTTGACCAAAGTGTCATTTTAGGTATCCTTATGTTTTTTTTTGATATCTGGATAGTTTTACAAACACACATCCTGAAACAGATGTAGTTTTAGTTTGTTTTCGGATGTTTCCAGGTCAGGTAGAGTTGTACACACACATTCCTGCCATGAAACAGCTGGTTGAGACGCTACAGAAATGGGATTTTCGCATCGCTGGTGTCTTCCTAATTGACTCCCAGTTCATGATTGAAGCATCTAAGTTTGTGTCCGGAGTGATGACGGCTTTGTCCACCATGGTCAATCTAGAACTGCCCCATGTCAATGTGATGACTAAACTTGACCTGCTCAGCAAGAAGGCCAAGAAGGATTTAGATAGGTACAATTTCTATTTTTTTTAAAGTATTTTTCTCTTTTTGCATACTAATGTAGGTTTGAAATTTAATATTTTGTACTACTGGAATGTTAATTCTGCTGAAAAAATATAAGTATCATTACCTTTATCAGTATGAAATAATACAGAGTTTTATTGAGATTATCAATTAAGTTTAATATATGCTGCCTACGTTTAAGAAAGATATTAACAAGTTTCCTATGGCAGTGGAACTCTTTTGTCAAGGCGAGACTGGTACATATTGCAGTAAAGGTAGTGTACATCCTTAACTATCGCCAACAAATACACCTACTTTTCTTATGTTGTTGTTTTTTTTATTCAAAAACTATACCTTACTGCTCTAAATATTAAAACTCATAGAATATATACTGTATAAAGTCTGTGTAAATTATAAAGTATTATCTTCAACATTCTTAAATACAACTTTTTTATAACAGGTATCTGGACCCAGAATTACCAGTTCTACTTGAGGAGGAATTCGATAACTTGAAATTCAGCAACAAATTCAAGAAACTCAACTCTGCCATAGCAACAATGGTATAATATTTGTTCTAAATAAATCAAAGAGATTTAATTAAAAGTTCTGTATTAAGCTGAAGCTCTCTCCTAATTTTTTTTATTAGAAAACATTAACTTACAGGGATTAAGTTAGCCACCTTTCTTTTAGAATTTCATTTCAAGCAGGTTGGAGGAAAACATTTCTGTATTCCACTGCATGATTGTAAGAGGTGACTAATTTGGGACCCTTATGCATCAGAGGTTCTTCTATGTGACACTGTTCTCCCCAAAATGTTTTGAAAGAAGCCTGGTATTTCAATATTTCTGTTAAAGCAGCACTCTATGTAAAATCAAAGCAGCATGGTAACTTTAGATTTACTATGAATATATAGCAGAGCAGATCTAGGGTAGCAGCATGGCAAGGAATTATAGGAGCATGGTGCCATGCTGCAAAAACAGCCTGGGGAGAACGCTATGTGATACAAAGGATACCAAAATTGAACTGCTGCCCCTATTGCATCAACTTGGACCACTATATTTTTCTTTCTCTCTCGTCTGTTATTTCCTTTCCTGGTGTCTCCGTATAGACACCTCTGTCTATGATTTGTCCAGATTGAATGCCATTCTCAGCTGTCCATCTTATGATATTTTAGTGAGATTGCACTATCAAATTTATAGAATGCCTCCATTATCTGTGGATATCATCACCACATGACCTTAGTTTATACAAAAGTTCCTTAAAGTATTTTGTTTCTCACATAAATTTTCGAGTCATTTGATTTAATGTAATAAGTGATATGAAGGTTTTCACTACCTGAAACAAAGAACAAAAAGTAGATGAATTTATTACATGCAAACTATGCTTTGGGAATCTGGGAATCGTAACTCATGGTCCAATGGATTTTTTTTATTTGGAAATTTTAGATAATCGGATGCTCAGATAATCTTAAATTTCAAAATCATAAAAAAGTTCATCAAACCTTGAGCTGCAACTGCATGCAAACGAAGTTCATGTTATTTTCATTAAAAGTTCAGTTAATAAAACATTCAGTATACCATTCTTTGATAGATTGAGGACTATAGTTTGGTGAAGTTTCTTCCCTTGGATCAGACAGATGAGGAGAGCATCAATGATGTCCTGTTACAGATTGATAGTGCTATACAGTATGGAGAGGATCTGGAGCCCAGAGAAATGAAGGTAGGTACCGGGTGCTACAATATTTTTGCTCAGAGTTTTGGCCTCTAGTGTTTTAAAAATATTCCCTGTGTTGTGTTTGGCAACGATTCCTTATATATTTTATTGTCTTGGTAGACATGCATATCATAGGGAGATATTCCGATTCGTGAACCTGAAGGGAGCATATATGCTCTAAGGATGAGCCTTATATTGGAAAGGAAACAAGTAATGTTACACTGGGAATGAGGAAAATGTTAGAAAGGAAACAAGTAAAGTTACAATGGTAATGAAGAAAATGTTAGAAAGTCGTTTTCGCAAGAGATGGTAATATAAGTCGAAATGGACAATGCATTGGTTTAGACATCGGGTCAGTATACATATAAATTTTTCGAGGGATTCCTTAAGGATTTTGTCCTTCCCAACTTTCATTGTCAATTTATTACGCTAGCCATACTTGGAGTTTCTATCCACCCAGTCGAGGGGCAGTGCAGACCCCATAAGGACTTACACAATCATAAGAATGTCAGTGTTTGTATTCTAAACAGACTTTGACTCGAGATAACTTTCTACCGAGGAGGAGAAGGAGAAAGATGATTATTTTGATTTTCATTTGAAGCTGAATTCTATCACAGATCTCTTATTATTCAAGCCAATTCAACAAGGCAAGATATGGACAGCTGTTCTCGGGTGTCCTAGGGAGGCTCATCCTCTGTGCTTGCTATGACTCCTTGTCGGGCATAATTTTGACCCTATCAATGTTTTTTGGTCAATTAGATGAGAATGGAGTTTAACAAGCGGTCTTTGAGGGATTCAACTTGAGACCACAAAATTCGTGGATGTCATCCAAGGCATGCTTGTTCCAGTCTACTCAGCTGTAAATGAGTATGTGGTTGGGCAGTGCTAGAATTGTAGAATGCTAGCTGTGAGCGCCGAAATGGCAGCAACGGCTGTATGCTCCCCGGGGAGTTGAGAAAGATATTAGCTGGTTGCAAAGGCCCTATAACCACGGATAATAATTTGTTAACCGCTTTGAGACGACCTTTGAACTAGGTTGTAATAAAGCGGTATATAAGAACCTCAAATAATTATTATTATAATTTTTATTGACTGTCAAAGCTAAGTCAGGAAAGTTTTTTGACCTTCTTAATATGCTCTAAAACAACAAGAACGACACTGGGTTGATGACCACACAATTAAGCGCAACCCAATAAAATGACAAGCTTCAGAGTTAATGAGTGATTGAGAGTCGTCCATATACCAATTGTAATAGTGTTCCTTGAGGACCGAATTTGAAGGGTTGAGTCAGAATTTCATTTTTTGCAAGGTGGTAAAAAGACAAAGTGTGTCTTATTCCCGTCACTTGAACTCGCAGGACTTTTGTTGTGACACATGTTAAAGATCTCCAGGTAGGAGCTAGTATGCAGATGTTTCATGAAATGTGGAGGAGTGGTTACCTTCAACGAGAGGGCTGAGCAAACTGTTCATGAAGGACTTCACAAAGACATAGGGAGTCTATAGAATATGTTCAAGAGGCCGATATAAGTTCCTGTTTTACAGTTCGTTTCTGTTGTTCAAAAGTTCAAACAGAAAGTTCCCGCCACTCTTCAATATCAGGTTCTTAAATCAGTATGTTGACAGTCTATTTGATATATAGCTTCCCTGATAAACAGGACACTTACCTTCATGTCCAATTACAGACAAAAATAGCCGGTTTCCTAGGTTTTGCATAGAAGGAACACCTCAGTCTAGAGCAATGCCTTTCATCCTTAGTTTTTTGTCTTATAATATCCCAAAACTGATCAGGGTAGTAGCGGCTTTTCTGAAAAGATACCGTCATCACTTTAACAAAATATAGAATTATAGAAGACTGTCTGATGAAAACAAATGATCACGAAACAGCTGCCGATTCAATTTATCAGACGATGTCTCGGACAGACACTGGGGTTGATTGTCAACAGGGACAATCAGTGTTGTATTCTGCACTAACCATAACCCATTTTGAAGCGGCAGGATAGGTTTGCAAAACCAACATAGGACAAACTCGACACAATCGAATTATAAGCAACCTATTTACAGATAACGGACTCATTCCAGATTATACAGTGTTGCGCCGGGATCTCATTGGTCGTCTGCAAGTGTGCGTGGCCTATTCAGCCATTAGCGTTGTAGTGACTTACAACTCGAGCAGTCCAAGTTACTTTTCCATTGAGTGCGGGACCCATTTACCTCAGATTTGAAAAGAGGCATGACCCTGAATCTGTCACCAATGGAAGTTACCCTTTAAACGAATGCCTCAGTTTTGGGCTGGTGCAAACAAAAAAATTATTCCCACTAACGTTGTTGATACCATAAGTCATCAGAAAGGTTTTCAGTGTAGATTGTGTGGTTCTTTTAGTGTACCCACGATAGTTCTTTTGAAAGGGATTGATGCTCAATCTGAGGAGCTCGATCAAGCTCAGCTAAATTGGCTTAAAGACTTTGTTTCTTTTAGGGTTGACATTGGTAGCCAGAGAGAGGTTTTGTTTTGTTTTATATTGTTTAATGTCCTATTAACAGCTAACTTCATTTAAGGACGTGTCTCCATGTGAGTTATGTATGTGAGAAAGTGATCAGGTGTTTGTCTATTACGAAATCTCCAGTTTCCCAAACATATCGGACATTAGAAGACATGGGAGCCCATATTATTCAAAGTTTTCATCATGCTAGAGACGAAACTGATTTGAAATTATGTCCATACAGTGTTTTTCCCAGTAAAGTATTTAATACAGTTACAATGTACATTCAGTCAGAAAGTTCCAGTTTCCGAGATTAAGTAATTAGGGTACTGGCTTGGTTTCTTTTATTTATCTAAGGGTCTTTCTGATGGGGAAAGAAACTATTGCTAGAACAGTTGTTTAACAGTCAGTAGTTGGCAGAGGGACATTTAGACAATACTGTGTTGCAATGATACTTCTTTTGATTTGTGTTAATTCTGGCTTACATCTTCTGTAAGTTAAAGACTTAAAAGTGATTTTTGTTTTGCCTGAACATGCAAGGGGGCTGGAGTAAAATAATAGTTTGTTTTAGGTATACATTCTCTGCTTGCGAAGTCTACATAGATACCCGCATAATTTTGAACCCTCCTTACCAACATCTAGTTTTCTTGTAGGAGAGCTTAGTATCAGATATTTGTCCTATTATACACTTTCCAATGACATTTTGTCAGACAATTCTTATTTGTAATAGTTCCTGCCGATATTTCTAAAGATCACTCAAGTAGGAAGGTGAAGTGACTTCATGCATAGGTAGCAGTATACAGTAGAGGGTTGTGGCCATGGGTGATATTTTTGTTAAATGGCTAACCCCTGTATAATGATATGTAAAAAAAATATAAAAATAAAACTGCACTAAAATTGGTATAAGCATGATGAAGTGGGCTATGTGAGCTTCACATTTGTAAAAAAGAAAGAAGATTTCTTTGGTTCGAGAATAAAATTTTGGCCATAAACAGAAAGGGTACGTACACATGAAAAGCAAGCTTTACAGGAGGTAAAATTTTGACAACAGCACACGACGCAAAATTGCAAAAAATCAAGTTCTACAATTTTACTGCGACCCAGATAATTCTGCAACCAGGTAGGTAATCTTTAATTTCAGACAGAGCTTAGGAAAAAAATTACTAGTTGTGGGGGTCAAATTTTGGGTTAAAAATAGCAACTTTTGGCATTTTTTGGTAATTTTTGATAACCATGGTTTTCACACAAGTGACATACATAGAAAAAAGAGGTTTATACACTTCTCAGTACTTTATATGTATTGTAAATGTAATGCAGTTTACAAATATATATGCATGTATATATGTGTTGTGTAGGGTAAATCCGCTGTGTTTACATTTCCTCGACATGTGCCTTGTTTATCAGAGTCGGGCCATTTCTACTGTACACTGCTACCTTATGGCTTTTACATTATGTACATAAAAAAAAAGATTACAGATGATGTGAAGATATTTTTCCTCTGTCACAATAAATTGCATCCAGAAATTGGACTTTGATATAACGTTGTGCAGTTTGATGATGTTTTCTGAAGTATATATATCAATATAACTCTTTGTTAACAAGTTTTGTTTCCACAGTTAGACTGAAATAGTATATTGTGCAGATTAAGGACGTTTATTGCAGATTTTAAGAAATCAATTCTCCATAGAAAATCATTGGTTCTAGTACCTTCTTGGACTATGCTACTAGACACATTGAGATTTGTCCCTCAAATTCAAGACATTGATTTTGCAAAGACAGCCGTTACTTCTAGTAGTTGCACAACGGTACTGTAATAAGCAGGATAAGGCTGGTTGATGCAGAGCTAATATTTCTGTTCTGTAGACAACCATTAATGATGATAATAAGACTACTGTTAACCCTTTCAACACTGTAGACCATGATGGACTCATCCATATCAATGCATGGTAGAGTCTACAAAAGTTACATGGTACTGTGATAAGCAGGATAAGGCTGGTTGATGCAGAGCTAAGATTTCTGTTCTGTAGACAACCATTAATGATGATAATAAGACTACTGTTCAGCTATATTATAAAAACCAAAACCCAATAATTGAATGCAAAGTGTTTGTGTTTGATCAATATTATCTTTCCTCTTTTTTATTCTGATTTCTGACTGTTTTATTCTGATTTCTGTCTGTTTTATTCTGATTTCTGTCTGTTTTAGGATGATTTCTGTCTGTTTTAGGTTGATTTCTGTCTGTTTCATTCTGATTTCTGTCTGTTTTATTCTGATTTCTGTCTGTTTTAGGAAGATCTATCAGATGAAGATGATTCTGATTTCTGTCTGTTTTAGGATGATCCATCAGATGATGATGACAACGACTTTGACAGGGGGATTGATGGCTGACATTATGGACTACTGATGGATGTTTCTGATGCATGTTGTGCGAAAGCAGGATGAAGAAAATGGATGAATCTGATGAATCTGGTGGATGGAATATTCGCTGATGAGTGACATATTCGCTGATGAATGACATATTCGCTGATGAATGACATATTCGTGGATGATGTGTGGTACATTGTGAGTAACTCATTTACCCCTGAAATTTCATAATGAACTATTCCAACCTTTGAATTGGGAGAGTTCAAATTTGTCTTCAGGGGTGAATGAGTTACATGTAATGACATGGAGCTGTTGTTTGATCCATGTCTTTGAATGAAGTATGGATATTTTACCTGTGTTACATTTTGTATGGATCGACTGTAATAAAACCTAAGGAACTTTTATTGTATTTGAGGACTTGTGTATTATAATTTATCTGTTTACAAAACTTTCATCTCCAAAAATCTAAAAATATTAGATTCTTGAATTTACCCAAATTTCATCCTAAAATATTTCCAAATGAAATATATTCATTGACATTCTAATTATATTCATGTTACAAAGGAACATCTGTCATATTCATTAGACTTTAAATGACAGGGGCCCACACATATTAAACTTGCTGGTTTCAAAATGCATTTCTTATGAGCATTTCCAGATTTCCATGATATGTTTTATATACAAACTAAAGTAACGTTTCCTGTTTTATTTATCAAACGCTTTCGTTATCCCAGTTTCCATGGAGAACCCAAGTTTCCAAAATATATTGGATACATTTCTCCAGTTTGTAGTTCATACACCTTATATCGCAGCTTTTCTTTATCGACAATTCTCTTCCCATGTCATCATACGGATGTTTTGTATCATAATTCAGTCCTCTTTAGCTATTTGTTGCGGTAAATAAAACCCATAGCTGTTGTATATTTATCCCTTTTCAGTGCTAACTATAAAACCCATAGCTGTTGTATATTTATCCCCTTTCAGTGTTAAATATAAAACCCATAGCTGTTATATATTTATCCTCTTTCAGTGCTAAATATAAAACCCATAGCTGTTATATATTTATCCTCTTTCAGTGCTAACTATAAAACCCATAGCTGTTGTATATTTATCCCCTTTCAGTGCTAAATATAAAACCCATAGCTGTTGTATATTTATCCTTTTTCAGTGCTAAATGTTTGCATGTCATACATGCGTAGATATATTTGTTATTTAAAGAAAAACTGTATTGTCGTCATAACATTTATTTACACAAAACTGTATATAGCACTTTAAAAAGAAGAAATTAGGTTTGACATGAGACTTTTGTTGTTTTTAGGTCACCGCATTAGAAATTTCATTGATACTTCATGGGAATGTTACTGACATCTTCCTGACCAAGTGTTGTTATTTTTCGGGTCGATCAGAAATCCAATATGGCCGCCATTTTGAAAAACTATTTCAAACTTAAAGTCAATTTCTGTTGGGACGATTGAACTGAAACTTGGTAGGATTAAAGCAATGATCGACTCATGCTCCTGACAAAGTGTTGTTATTTTTCGGGTCGATCAGAAATACAATATGGCTGCCACGGCTGCCATTTTGAAAAACTATTTCAAACTAATTAAAGTCAAGTTCTACTGGGCCTATTTAACTGAAACTCGGTAGGAATGATCGACTCATGGTCCATACAAAGTGTTGTTATTTTTCGAGTCAATCAGAAATCCAATTTGGTTGCAACGGCCGCTATTTTGAAAATAAGTATTTCAAACTTAAAATCAAGTTATAATAGGTCGATTTAACTGAAACTCGATCTAGAAATGATCAGCTCATGGTCCTGACAAACTTAAGTTAACGTTATACTTAACTATTTTTTACTCAAATTGGTACTTAATTATTTCAACAACAAAAATAAATACTATAGGACTCGGGTGACCGTTAAGGCGCATGGGCCTCTTGTTAACAAGTCCGGTCATTTTTCCAGAAAAATGTATCCAAATCAAACGTATTCTAACAAAATGTATTCGACAATAGGTATATAGAGAAGAGTTGGAAAGGTCAAATACTACATACTAGATTTTGATTCAAATTTACCGCGCACAACAAACATTTAAAAAACCTTATCGACCCTGCTTTTTATTACTGAAAAGTTGTTTATAATTTGTATTAATTTATATAAAAGATGCACTTACAGCAGATGGAAAATTATATCAATAGAATGCCCTCGTGCCAACAAAAACGTAATTAGAACTCAACAGCCGATAAACTAGCGCAAAATATGAACAAAAGAAAGATTTACATGGAGAACATTGAGAATACGACCAGGTGTGTCGGAAGAATTGCGTCCACTGCCTCGTGGATGACACCCGCCATGTAAATCTAGTTAAAACAGGAGTAATTTCACGTCCTTACTTCCGAGAACTCGAGTGGTGACAACAAACCACACGGCACACTAATTGGCATGATCAAAAACATCGACTTTCATATCGCACAAAGAAATAGCATATATTTCCAAATGAGATAAGGATGTCGACCGTAAGGAATTATCCATAATATTCATCAACCTGCATCTTTGGTTACCCATTTATAAGTTGTCATCAGCAGTCTTCACATCTGGTACGAAAATCAAGGTATTCGGAAATCATACATTGTATGAAACATTAAAATACTGTAGACGTTGTTTTACAGATAGGTCGTGATTTGAATACAGAAACTTCTGTCATATGTATTACAGATACAGCTGGGAATAGCTATGGTATGCTTACTGCGTAATATAGCATTTGTTCATGGACATTTTGCCGTTACGTCCAGCAGCAGAAGAAATACGTATAATATTTGCGCATGTTCTCAAAACTTCAAATGATCAAATGTGTAAAATTGTTTTAGGTGTAAATAATGGGGAAAAATAATAAACTAAATATGATTTTAAGAATTGAGAAGGTTCTCAAGGCTCGGAGTCTTGTGCAACCATGACCATATCCGATGGACGCGAATGTGATCTCTCCGATAGCTTAGATCCTTTAAAAGTTCCTGTATGTTGTGAAAATCACAATAATGTCGTGTCATGAGGCTATTTAAAGTGGCGTTCACACGATTGCTTGCACTAATTTTTGGGTGGGATTTCGTGGACTATGTCCATTCTCTTGTCTTATGGACAAGTTGTTAGGTAACTGAATAAATACTTTATGAAATTTCACAAGTGTAATAAGTCATCATGTTATTCTGGTAAATTGTCTCAGGAAATAAAAACAAATGCGAACAAAATCACCTAACTGTGACTCATAAAAATGTGCGTACGCCGCTAACAAAGATAACGCACAATAAAACTGGCATTTGGCTGACCATGTCATAGTTGTAGATAAAATATAATTCTATCTTACTTAAATACGGTATCGTCTCGCCGAGAGTAATAAGTGATATATTGTTTCTGAAATTATCGCCCAAAGCACCAAGTCCGCCAGATAACTGTGCAGACAGCAGTCCATTGGAGTACCTATTTGTAAAATATCCGATATTTTTATCCAGAGCTTCCGTTGTTCCGGAGAACAGAAGTTTCCGTGTTTTTAAGAATTTTATAACGCATATAATTTATAGCACGGCATTTCTTTATCGACTACATGTACCTGGTATTCTCATGGTATAATATCAATGTTTGTTATCCTACTAATTTATTGCTTTCTGAGCTTTTTCTTGAGATAAACGCGAACCCATCACAGATCTTTCATAACCATTATCTGGTCATTCAATATTCCATAATTTGACTTGAAGCTTGTAATGTTCCTGTGGGATTCCATAGGTCAAAAACCAAGCGATTCACATGCGTAGGTTTAGCTGTTCAAACATGTATTTACGTCATAGCATTACATTTTTCGCCCACTTATATATGTTTATAATAACCATTCGGTTTGACTGCTAAATGTATTGAGACTAAGTTTTAATAGATTCAACTATGAGAATGATGTCATAGCAAAAGTTCAAAAGAGCAATATCTATTTTGCATATATCAAGAGCAATATCTATTTTTAAATGATTCTTTTTCCGGCTGAGCCGTTTACGATTTTGTGCATGTATAATAAAAACTGAAAAACGTTAAATTGTTTTTACAAAGTGCGATAATGTTTTAAAAAAGACGGATTCTCAATCAATATATTTTGGACAACTTCCAGGCATAATTGAGTTTACGTGTTTAGTAGAATTATTTTTTACCAAGTTACGGAATTTCTCTAACGGAATTGTCAGAGCTCCAATTCGTAATGTTCTATTTTCGAATAAAGTTATTATTCGTTTCGGTTTGTTTTGTTTTCGTTAAGGTTTACCTTACACGTGCTCCCGCAGAACAGCGGCTTGAATTCAGCAGAGCAGTCCATAGAATAATCTTCCAAACCAAATTAAGAATGATATAACAGTCTTCACGTTTAAAAAAAATCTCAAGAGTCACCTATTGTCTCTTTACTTAAATGGATAAATGAACATTATCAATTTCATGATAATAAAAAGTTTGGTATTGAAATTCCACAGGACACTGTCAAAACCTATAATGTAAGGTTCCACATATGCTGTTAGTATATGCAAGATATTGTTGGACATACGTTACCATAGACATTACAACACATGTAATTCTAGTCAGTTTACAGTAATCTCAGATTGTGTTTGTAGTTTGTAGTTATATCATATCATTGTTTTATATAATCTCTTTATGCATTCATGTACTTTATGTGTTTGAGGGCCGCATGGCAGATTAGTCTTGTACTAAATGTGTAACCATCTTTAAATAAAAAAATTAAAATAAATAATAATAATACGCGTACGTGTCAGTAACTGCGTCACAGGAATAAAATATTTCCATGACAATAATTCAGTAGTGAGATGAGGAAAGCAAAGTGTTAATTGATCAAATGAATGATGTACGAACACTTGTATTATTAGTATTATCAAGTATTCTGTATAATATAACAGAGAGTTACGTCACTAATAAAAATCACGTCAACGTAGGCATGTTTCGTGATGTATTAATATACACAGTTAATTCTATCTGTTAATGTTTAAAATATGTGTTTCGCGATTGTCTCACAGTTTTTTTAAAATTCATGTTTGACCATTTTTTTTAACCAGCTTTTCGACATTTTATGTGTTAGGATGTATGAAAGAAATAAAAAACAATTCTACAGATACACAAACTGAAATCAAGAAATTTCTTGTTATGTTTTACATTCTATCATGTTTGCTCGTGCGTGCGTTTGTGGGGATGTCATTTTCGATGTTTTTGCTAAAAAGGCAATAATAAATAAGATAATACTTTGGTATTTTTTATGTAAGAACAGATGACTACGCTTCAGACTCCTATATTGGTACAAACGGACGTTGAGAACGACAGTGTCTATAAGTAGCTAGGTTGAATAATTGCTAATTGATGTACTCCTCTG